GACAGACTAAGCACGTGCTCCAAGGATAAATAGGACAAGAGGAGTGGGCTTCGATATCTCGACTTCAGGCCTCCTGATGAGTCTGCTGCATACGCATGCAGCGAAACGCGTAGGGGAGTAGCATACCATGGGTGTTTTTTTTAATATCCTTAGGATTGTGATTTGAAGTCGAGCCGTGTGTGTGTTTTCGGGGCTATGGCTGTGTGGTGCTTCCTTTGCTTCTTCTTCAGTCTCGAATAACGTGGTAACCATGTTGCTTGCATGTGGCAGTGGCTACGTATGGTATCCAATTTGTGCACGTACTCTTGCACAACCTTTTGCCGTTCTTGGCGACGAGATTGCCGAATCAAGGCGTGAGCGTTCCCGATTGGAGAACAAACCGGGGTCGAAGTTTAGGCTCCGCAGCTGTCTTGTAACGCAGCACCAGGAGATCTACATGGTTTTTTGAGCCAATACGTATTTGCGCAGGTAAGGAGTGTGATCATCTTCTATACCGCCGGACCGGATGAAGGACACAACGAGCGATTGTCACAACGGGAGTCGGAGTTAGGGTGGTTTGGAGAACGGGAGCCGCGTGCGTTAGATCTGGACACCAATTAAATGAGACATGACGGATCGTAACTTCAGGGTAGAAGAGTTCCATCGGTTGTGGGTAGATTTAGAAAAGATAGTGTTAGATAGTGTCGTACCCGCTGTGTTTGTCGCTTTACAGTTTAACGACGAAGAGTTGAGGAGGGAACTGTTTGAACACTTGGAGAGATTCTTAGGGAGACTATATAGCCTGGGCTGCGTTGCGAGGGATCAAAGGAGAAGGAGTAGGAGGAAGACGACGAGGAGGAGGTGACATGGCGAATTTCAGGATACGGGAGCACCGCAAATCCAAGGCTACCGAGGGGATCCACCAAACGGGAATCAGCAAGGAGTGATATCCTGTTATTTATGCGGGAAGGTGGGCCATTACACCCGTAACTGTTGGGCCGGGGGGAACGCAAGGCCACCGTATCAAGCAGGCGGAACGATGGATGAAGAAACAAAGGAGATGAAGGAATATTTTCGAGAGAAGATCCGAAAACGGAAGATGGAAGAGGAAAGAAGAGGGAAGGAGGAGGAGGAGAGGAAGAGGAGAGAGGAGGAGAATAGGAGAGAAATTGAGAGAATGAGAGAAGCGGAGGCAAGGGAGGCTAGGTTGGAAGCACGAATGGTGCGATTATTAACACAGCACACGCGGCCAAGTAAAAATGAGGAAGTCATTGGGAAGAAGAAATCTCCCAAGACTAAGGCGAGAATGTTACGGGAGATACATAGCTACCTAGTTGAATCCGATGGCGATAGTGAGGAGGTAGAAAGGAGGCTGGGAAATCGATCCAAGCAATTGAGAGGAGGAGAGGGAAGAAGAGGATAAAGGAGGAAGGGAGGATATCGAAGAATATAAGGAGAGGGTATCACGGGAACCCGGTAAGAGTTGATGATGATGAGGAGGAAGTAAGAACTCCACCGCCGATGAAGAGAAGCGCAGAAGGGGGTACCGGTGGGACAGAAATGTTGGAATTTGCCATCGAGCTACACCGAAGACTATCCGAGAAGAAAGTGCCAGAACTGAGAAAGCTGTGTAGCCAGGAGGGCATTGAGTGGTCGAAGAAAGACAGTGCCGTCGGCGAACTGGTTAGACGTAAGGCAAAGATGGCATACGAAGAATACGTGGAAAGTGGTAAGATTGCTCCGATCTTTGACAAGTAGTGCATGTATGAGTAACCCGTCATGGACATCTAGGCGGAATTACGGAGAACAATGTGGGATAGAGGGGAGATAATCGATAAAGGAAGGGCGAGTTTGTCTGTAGAAGAAGAAGACCGGATTTTTAGAATGTTTCTGTTCTATGTGGCACGGGGAGGATGGTCATGGGCTAAGAAATGGGCGGTGATCGTGGGATCTTAGGAACGAGATTTGTCCACTGGTGATCCAGGCGTTTATGTACTTGTAAGCCCGTGGTGTCGGCACTTTTACGTAGGATGTACATCGCAAAAGATTTTAATTAGATGGACGGATCACGTAAAAAAGTCGAAGAGTGGGACTTTAGGGGGTGCGCCTAAGCTACAGGCATGGTTGAAAGTGTTTGGATGGCGTAACTATCTGGCTTTGCTGCTGGTAAGTAAAACTAGCGATTCCCTAGCGGTAGAAAAGACACTAATTAGTAAGTACTCACCGGCGCTAAACACACAAGGCACAAGGAGAGCGGGGGGTAGAACAAGGAAGCAGAGAGGAAGAAGGGAGAGGGGTAAGAGGAAGTACAACGGGATCAAAGAGTCGATACTCCGGTTTAACGGACGGGAATCCATTGTGGACGTAGTGAAAGAAATGAGAGGAAAGGCTGGTGATCATAGCATCATAACAACCGGAGGGAGCATATGGGCAGATAGATGGAACGTAGTAAGAGGGAAGATCGGACTAAGTACGATAATTGTAGAAGGGAGGGAGGTGTCGATTAAGAGTTGCAAGAAAGCCTTCAAAGGAGGGGGGGAGTTCCCAGTCGTAAATATCATGGTAATTTCTACCAGTGTGGAACATCGGCGAAATATACTGAGGGATTTGCGGAGGAACCCAGGGAAGATCAGGGGGATGTACCGGAGAAGCTCTCGTGAGCTAGTCACACTATACAGAACGTGTTCACTCTTTGGGGACAAGAAGGTGAGGAATCATTTGAAGACCTTAATCACCAAAGTCGTGAGAGTTAAGTTCGGAGTAGAGATAAGAAGACGGCCATGTGTCAAAGTGTCATTCTTACCAAACATTCGTCTGGGGGAGGTGAGAAGAGTAGCGGCAGGAATTTTGAAGGAATCGGTGACGGATCCGTATCTATGCGGGTTTATTGCAGCGAAAGTAAGGACGGTTACCAAGAAGAGGAGAACGGTTGCTGGAGTCATCCACAACCACTGGACGTTCGCCGAGATGGAACGAGCTCAGTGCAGGTGCAGTCTTTGCGAGTTACCAAAGAGCGATGGGCATATCAAGGTGAGGATCGACCAAGTACATGGAATACCCAGCTTCGTCATAAACTCAAAGAATATCACCTCAAGGTACCAGGTGTCGCTGGGAGTGTTAAAGGAGGGCATCAGAGAAGGTATTGGAGCTTGGACAGAGCGAATGGCCAGAACTACGAGAATGTTACCAGGAAAGGGGGAATGACCAGCCCAGAGCAGCTATGTCCGTAGAAGAAGTGAAGAGAGCCATGRAACCATACAAGGAGCTGGTTGCGGTTCCCATTGTCAGGAACCCAGGTGCGACACTTCTTTTGTGCCCGCAGTTGTACAATGAGGCATGCAAGGACACCTTCAATCATAACCCGAGTTTTACGTCGGAGCGGCAAAGCGAGGAAGGAATAATGAAGAAGATGAGAGATGAGTTTGATCGAAGGGGTTTTGGAAGAATAGCGAGGTGGCAGACACGGGGGAGGATTGAAAGAGCTTACGTTTTACCTAAGGACAAGGACCTGGATAGTTGGGGGCCGATTTCCCCGATCACCAACGATCCAGCAAGGTTGGCGGGAATGAGAGTTGGAAGAGCAATCCGCTACATGTTTTTTGGATTGAATCGAAGATGCCACTTTGATCTCAAGGCGACCGATGAACCAAAGGAGACAATGGAAGAGATCGAAGGGGAGTGTAGCAGAGAGGGCGATAGCAGCTAGTTATGATATTTAAGATATGTTCGCTAAACTATCTCACAACAGTGTGATAGATGTCGTGGATTGGATTATTCAGTTGAGCGCTGCGAAGGGGTTTGTGGGAGTGAGAATATGTTTTCGAAGGAAGGTATGTACCATGATGAGGTTGAATCGGAGGAGGAAAGGATTCGTGAACGTATCTTTTGCAGAGATCAGATCGATCATCCAATTCGAACTTGAAAATGCCTACATTATGTGTGCTGGAAGCATTCTGAAGCAGGAGTTCGGGATCCCCATGGRAAGAAACTCCAGTCCGGCTCTGGCATGCCTAGTGTGTGCTAGAGCTGAGTCAGCGTTCRTGAACTCATTAGGGGCAAATCGGACGTTAGTAAGAGGGGTGCGTATGATTGATGACGTGACCATTATGGTGGCATACCACGGTGGGAGCGTAGAATCCAGCCAAGAARCACACAGGATTAGAGAGCGGTTTGAATCATGTTATGATAAGAGTCTGACGTTGATCGGGAAAGATGAGGGGAGTAATACGTTTGAATTCTTGGGCATCAAAATTTTTGTGCTCATGGAGCCGATCAAGATTCTGATTCATCCGAGAACTCGGAATCAGACCTTCCTCAGGCAAGGACTGGGTCTGAGAGTGCAATCCATGCAGGATTTCGACTCTTTTTCAAAAAAGTCGACGAAGAAAGCAGCCGTGTACGCAGCATTGGTGAGATTGCATCGATTGTCCAATTCCGATGAAGCCATGAAGGCAGGAATTGCTGCTCTGATTATGGAAACACGCCTCCGGGGTTACCCCCCGGAGGTCTCTCTGGGGGCCCTCGCAAAATTCGCCAGGCTGTCCGGTGGTCTGTGGGGGGATTACCTCCCCACCGAATACCCCGGACTTGACACGTTCTTGCCCCGGGTGTGAAGATACGGGAGGCAC